AGAAAATGGCAATTAAAAACAAAACTACCTTTACCCGTGTTAGCAATGATGGTAATAATGAAAGAACGATGTAGAAGTAAAATGCTGCAAAACAAGCAGAATTTGACCCGAAGCTTGTAGCTATTTCTGTCTCAGTTGAAGTACACCAGCTGCCTCCTGATTACACTAAATTAATCAGGGGTGATTGTGGCACAGAATGAAAATTTCATGTGCAATAAATCAAAATAAATTTATATACCATACATGTATTTCAGACTTAACACAACTTTTTGAACTAACGTTAATAAATTAATTACCTACTAACACAGAATATCACACTTTTAGAGTAATTAATTTAAGAAAAAACTTACTTCTTACAAGAATCGTGATATTGGGTTTTAAAATTGCATGAATCAGAATATTGGATTTTAAATATGTGTGAATATGAATTGAGCTATAGGATTTTAAAATTTCGTGAGTATGGATTGCAATATTCAATTTTTAAATCGCGCACATACGAATTGCAAAACTGGATTTTAAAAATGTATATCGTGATATTGGATTTTTAAATCACATGAATACGAATCGCCACACATAGCTGTTAAATACAAACATTGATGTTTAATATTAAACTTGCGTGAATAAGAATCCAAATATTTAAAAAGGTGAAAATCCGCCAAACCAAAAGAATCACGTAATTAGTGGAAGAATGTATGTAAACGTCTTGTTAACAGGATTTAGAAAAAGTTTCACAATTTTGTTGAATGATAAGTTTTAGATTAGCGGAAGTCCACAACCAATGGTCTTGATTTATGTGGAATTCTGCAATATTTGGGCAATAATTGCAAGCCCCGCTCCTAGTTTTTAGACCCGGAATTCCAGGGTACCCCCGGAATACAATCATCCCTGATTAATGACAGAAACATAATACGTAAAGTTTCTTAGACAATAGTTGTTAAAGAAAATATTTAACATACAACAATAGACAATCCATAAAGAACATAATTTTTTAATTATACATGTTTTCGCTTTTTTTCATCAATACTCTTGGTCAGCAAAAGATTCTCTGATATTAAAAGTCCACTTTGGCAAAATTTGTTTCAAGAAATTACAGATAACAATACTCAACAGTTAATTTTACTACATCACCAAATGCAAAAAAAAAATGTGGATTGTTAATACTCATACAAACTGTTTAATTGATTAGGCAAACCTCATAATTTTTTCATATCAATAACTGTTACCATACAAACTCTTAAATTGGTTAGCCATGTTTTATAGTCTTTCATAAATCATTGTTTTTCGATGGAGCTAGAAAGTAACTAAGTTCTAGATAAAACATAGTAAGATAAACAGTACAACATTCAAGCAACTGTTACTTAAATTTTTGTGTAAATAATTTCTCAATTAATAACTTTTAATTTAAGTAAACAAAATCAAAAGAAAAACTTTTAATAAAAAAATAAGAAGTCTTGTCAAGCTAAAAATTATCTACAATATGAAATAAAAAAGTTATCATTAAAGAAATTCTCATTCGTAAAGAATACTGTGTATATAATTTATATTAAAATGGATTCCTGTTTAATATCTGTAATGCTAAACAAGCAGTGACACAAGCTGCTAGAAAATTTTCATACAATCACACCTGCACATATTAAACAATTCACACAAATCAATTTGTACACATTAGGATTATGTTACACAATATACATTTAGCTGTAACAGAAACTTCCAACACTATATGATTCATTCTTTTTTTTTCCATTTATTTTAAAGGTATGAAACAATTTTAAATGAAAGCCTACATAAGAAAAAAATTTACAAATAAGTCAAAAGAAAAGTAATAAAAATTATATATAAAAAAATAATCATGCTATTAATTTTATGTTAAGAGTAAAATATCAAACTAACAAATATTTTAAAAATTGTTGACTCGGAGGCTTAAGTTTAAAAAGAACATATTAAGTTTTAAAACAATTATTATTTTATATATCGCTGCCATACGATTTTGGGGGAAAAAATCGGCTCATTTTTCAATCAGCATTTTAGTAAACTGATTCAATTCACTATTTATAGCAAGACTATAAAGCAGCAAAATAAAGTAACTTTTCTGTACTATAAAGCAACAACAAAAAAAAAAAATGCTTAACACTTGAAATACCAAATGAACAAGTTTGTATAAAAAATTTCTTTCAGGGCTGTTTTCTAATTGAATAAATAACTGTGAGGGGAAAAAAATATGCACACATGAGGAAAGGGCGTAAATATCCAAAAAACAAAGGCTGAGGACATTGAATTTTTCAGTCATATTGCTACACATGATGCAATGCAATATTCTATAAGTTAAGTATTTCTACAATTTAAGTCACTAGAAGTCTATAAATTCTTATCTTGGAATCCATTGCCTCAAAAAGTGACCTGCTCATTGCCAAGCTTTTAGAATGATTAAGGGAGGTATACACAACAGATTTTTATTAACAAATTGAATGTATTTTTAATAATGAATATTTCATAAAGAATAAATATGATTTCTTAACAAATTGATTTATAAAGTTTTAGTTTAGTTTAAGAAAACTTGATATTTTTAATATATTATTACAACACAAGAGATTCGAACATGGGTTTTTAAGCTGTTTACTGTTTTTCAACTGTGTCTGATTTCTTGTAGCTTAAGAAACCATTTAAGGTTCAACGTTCATGAAATCTCTTACAATTTCTTTAATATAAATGTCCTAAGTCAAAAATATGCTGAAAACTGAGCGTAAATCTTATTTTGGGCTATAATGTGTTATTTTAAATCGTTTCTTAAATTCAAATACTTAATTTGCCTTTATACTGCTCAGTAAATATTTATTTTTTTATTTTCACTTCTGAATATTACAGTTAATTAATTTTAAAATTAACTTTTGTGCCACATAATGTGATAAAAAAAAATATATTATTTCTGTCCGTGTATAAATCTTTTTTTTTTTTAAAGTTTGAGTTTGGTATTCTTCAGACATTATTACTGAGCAGAATTTAATTTTATTCAAATATATTACTAAGTTAACTGATAAAAAGAATTATGTCCAAAGCACTGAAGTTTACATTAAAATGATCATTGCTGTCAACATTCCTAAATAAATGGACATGCGGCCCTTCATTCAAAAAAGTTTTGCATCCTATTTTAAAGTATGGTAAACACCAACCACCGTGTTCATTTGTAAATGAAGAAAAAAAATATTTCTAGTCTTACCAGATAGGTTTATAAAAATTTAAGGCTGCTTTTCGAAAGTTTCGTTGTTGCATGAAATGCTTTTCTACGAATATGCATTTTCATAACAATGTGTGTTTGCTACAGTTACTCATGAACAGTTAGGATAAGTTAAGCCTATCTTTAGCCAGCATAATCTATATTCTGAAAATAGTGCATAACGTCTATAAGGAGAAAAAACAAGTTTGAGAAAATGAAAAGCATTTGTGGACAATTTTTTAATATTTAAAAATGTACCCCAATGCTCGATCATCTGGACCTATAAAAAACTGTAAACTTTTAAAATATTTTAGTTATTTGTCTGAAATCCAAATTCCTTCACGTCAAGATGTCTTATATAGTTTAAAATTATAATTTCCTTTCAAGTGTAAGGCACTTAAACTATGGCATTTTTACTTTATTTTTTATTTATTTCAAACTGTTAACAATGCATTTCACATTGCTAAACCACAAATATAAGTACTTCTAAGCATGGATTGTGGCCTGGTAAGGATTTTCTTAAAAATACGAGTGGTGCTTAATGTCTTAATAAGTTAATGTCCAGAAGAAACGTTTACAAGCATAAGTATAATTTCAATAGGGACTCAGCAGTCATTGGAGCCCAAACAGGGTTCTCATCGCAAGTTTTTGACATGACAGTTTTTATTATCATGGCAGAAATCTATATTTTTGGAGACATTGCATTTCTTTTTATTTAACTTCATCAAATTAAAAGGTACATAAATCAAATGTACATAAATGTTAAAGAAAAGAAAAGGCGCATAAATGTTAAATTTAAAAAAAAACGGTAAATATTCTAATTTTATGGTTAGGTAATGAAAAATGTGCAAAACTAGTCACCTATTATAGCATGCTTTGACATAATAACCCTAATAAAAAATGTCTTTTGAATGTAATTGTGGCTCCTCATTAATCTGAGTTTTCAATTAATAAAAGAGTAGTGACCCTTTGAAGTTTTCTTCAGTTAAAAATATTAAATAATAACTAACTGTAATTTGAATAAAAGTATTGCTTATATATAGTCTAAAGAATATTAAGAAAAGAAGCATTCATGTGTATTGTAAAAAATATGCACTACCCTACAATAATTTAAAAGACACTTTCAGCTTTTCATATTTTTTTAATTTTCTCAAATAACTTTAAATATTATTTTACAACTTTAAGAGTGCTTAGCAATAAATTTTCAATTATAAATTGAGCAACAGTAATCTAACTCAGTGCAAAACACATATTGTTTAATCAAATTTCGAATCATATCTTGCGGCAAATTTAAATAAATATCATATCTCAATCTCAATGTCACTTTCAAAATGAAAAACTATCTTCACACAATAGATATTAATCTCATTTATGTACGGGACTGATCTGCACAAAAAGAACTCAATCTGACTATACATATTGGTATAATTAATATGGAAAGATCAAAGTATGTAATTATTTCTTTTTATCGCTCAGATAAAGCTTTAACTGGCCAGAAAACGATTATTAATTTCGAAATAAACTTCTGATTTGTTCCAAACTTTTAATGTTCATTTTAGATATAAAACTTTTTATAAAACCTATTCATACTTTCCCAATTTAAAAGTAACATTTAAATGAATCTACCAATACAATATAGATGCGCTTCACAAAAATTTTCTTCAGAAAATTTAAGTTTAAGAACAAACCTTAAGCTCTACACATAAATGTTAAAGTTATATTAGTGTTACTAATGTAATTGTATACTGTTAAATTTGAAACATAATACGACATAACCAGAAAATTGATATACTTGTATATAAATATAAGCATTTAATTTTAATTGAATAATAAAAATTGTATAAAATTGAAATTCATTATATCCAGGTATTTTATGCAAGAAATATAAAATTATAACTTTTTGTCACTCTATAATTACTGGGAAATTTCCACAATGATCAACACAGAATTTTATTACAGATAGTTATGGTGATATTTGTAGTTAAAAAATTAAATGCTAAATTAAGAAACTAGTACTATGACATTACGTAGGTAAAGTAATACTTTATAAATTATAATATTTTAATATAGTAGTTAATAAATTAATGTAGTCTTTCAAAAAAGCAAATGTCGGTCAAAGAAATTTAGAAACAAAATGCTGACATAAAGAAATCTTAAGGTGAAATTCATACTTAAGACAACAGATTTTCAAATATTCAATAAATCATTGACAATAATTAGTAGTACAAAATGACGCAGCTGATAACACACAAAACAAGTTAACAAAAATACAAGGTCGGAAATCACAATGGATAAGACATCCTAACATTCACTTCTTTTTAGCATCGGCAAGAGCCTTTTTTCTGACCTTTGCTCTTTCAGAGTGATGACGAGCTAAGTGTGTTCTGACAGCCCCGCTTTGGGCAAACTTTTTACCACAAATATCACAACCGTAGGGCTTCTCTCCAGTATGAGTTCGAAAATGAACTTGCAGATCATGTTTCCAAGTATAAATTTTGTGACAGGTCGGACACGAAAATATTTTGAACTTTCCATTTCTCTTACGTTTTCTAGATTTTTTATGGTTAGAAGATGTTTCATCCGCCGAGGTTTCGATGGAATTCAATGGATTAATAGAAGAGGGCATATTTTCCTGAGGTATGTTCTCGTTCTTTGGATCATCAAAATCAATAGATTCTATGCTTTCTATAGACTTCTTACGGTTAAATGAGCTTTTTCTAGCTAATGCACTTGTCTGTCTTCCATTTTTCAAATGCAAAGCTAAATGTCTTTTTAAATTCCCAACTTGAGTAAAACCTCGTGTACACAAAGTGCACACATAAGGTGTTTCGCCTGTATGAACTCGCATGTGATTACGCAGAGTGGCTGGATCGGCAAATGATTTATCACAATCCTGGCACTGGAATGGTCGCTCACCCCGATGGGTGGTCATGTGCCTTTGTAAGTTACCGATTTGCCGAAAGGATCGCTTGCACTCGGTGCAAGTGAAGGGCATTTCCTTGGAATGTAATCGCATGTGATTAACAATCGATTGCTCATGGCTGAAAATTTTTAAACATATGTAGCACTTGAATGTTTCAGCGTAGCAGTGGTCAGCAACAGTTTGCGTCGTAACATCGATGCAGTGCTCGTAATTGCAACGGCATTCTAAACAGTCTAAAGGATGTGCAGAAAAGTGTATGAAGTAATGCATTAAGAGTAATGTTTTGCGGGAGAAATTTTTAACACACTCCGGGCACTGAACAAAATCGTTCTCAAGCTTCGAACAGTGTTGTAATATGTGCACACCATATGATTCCCAATATATATGATTAAAACAAACATTACAGTATAATTTACGAGAGCATTGAACACCGCCATGATCATCAACAAAGTCTCCAACTTCAGCAACTATTTGAGAATTATCTTTAATTTTCTCTGTGCTCTCTACGGAATTACTGCCATTTTCAAGGAGAGATTCCTCATCGTCAGATTCTAATTCATTATCAAATATGGAACTATCGTTACTACAAGTTGGTTCTACATCCTGTTCCTGAAAATTTTCACCACTAACATTATTAAGCAATACATTATTCAAAGACGCTATGTTTTGACTAGACGTCCTGCTGATTGTGCAAACAGTACACTGACAATCTTCTCTCTCAGTACACGTTTTTTTATGATAATCCAAGCCCAATTTCGTGAATAGCCGTCCACATTCAGAGCACGGAAATCGTTCAGGACGTTCACAAACACTTTCAGACAAAGGAACATTACTCTCCGCATTCATTGTTGCTTCCAAAAACATTATTTAAAATTATATGTTATGAAGCAATAAAACATAAAAATTAAATGAATGAAAAAAGTTTCACCATTAGAGCACGAGCTTTATAGCGAAGTTGCTTGCAGTTATGTAATCAAGTTGAAAAAACAAAACTAATTACTTAAATTCAACACGTTTTATCATTATTCAATAAATAAGCTGGAATTCTAGTTATATAAAGTTCAAATATATTACTGATTTTAATTTATTAAATTGGTGATTCTTCTACGAGCATGCATGTCTATGAAAGCCAAATTTTAATAAGCTAAATTCCTTATTTTCATTAAAAAAGCATGGAAGTAAAGAAACCAAACCGCGGATATCGAAACGAATAAACAAGTTTTCCACTCGGTTACAGTTTATCTATTCCAGTGAAAAAAAAGCATTTCTAGAGATATTCTCACTGTATTAAGGCTAGTCTATGCAATTTTGATGAACCAATCTAGTTATCTATCAGGTCTAAATTAGGCGCCATTCTCACTTTCGACAGCGCAACTTTTTTATACAGTCCCTCGAAAAAATATTTTTTCGAGTGACTGTAATGCGGATAAATCACATGCGAATGAGAACAAGATTGGGGGGGAAATATTTAACCTAAAAAACTCTTAATTAAGGTTTTTGTTTGCATGCGAAACTTTAGCTCGCAAAAAAACTATATCCAGTAGGAATGACTCTGAAAGTGCCAGTTTTACTGTATGCTTGCTGTGTGATGAAATATATTTTCCCTTGGCAGAAAATCAGGGAAGCATTCTCCTTTATATTTGTATAAGATGCTAGTTGGAATCAGATGACTAACTTTTTCGTGGAATAAGTGCCACTCAGCCACTCTCATTGGATGTGATTAAAGAACCTCTGATCCGATTTCAAAAATAAGAATCTGATTGGATAAAAATATTTTCCTTCTGAAACGTACCAATCTAGTTCTTTTCTTCTCTTGACATCGCTCAGATTGCGCGAATCATAGGCAGTGTAAACGGTACCAAAATTTATTCCATTAATCAGAGTTTCACTCAGATCTGTAAATTTTTAGCGTGTGTAGATAGACAAGCTATCTGATTTTGGCGACTACAGGTGGCGCAGAGCAGAGAATCCATCTATAGCATAACTTAGCATGCTATCACCATTAGCGTGTGCGCAGTCATAGGGGAAGGGAGTTAGTTTCTATCTTTATTTCCAAATGGAATAAAAAGTTTTAAGTGAGGTAACTATATGAAACTTAAAAATGCAAACATAGTTCTTAGAGCATCGTAAAAACTTCAGAAAATATTTTTGACATTTAAAAACGATGTTATATAAGAGGAAAGGCTCATCACCTTTTAAAATCTATAAATTACACAAAACTATTATGAAGTGCATGCTTAAAAGTACGCCCAAATTTTGTGGTGTTAAGCTAACTCAATTATTAAGCAAGAAAGAAAGTTAACATTTAAATTTAACATCACAGTTTATAATTAAAAAAAATAATAAATAAAGTAAAGATTAAGTTAGTTCAAAAAAAGTTTACATGATTCTAGGATATAAATAAAATTACTAAAGATAGTCGAGTAGAGTAAGTCCGACATTGGCGAATCAGCGAAAAGCAGCAAGGTGCCGCGGAATATTGCAGAGGACGTCCACACTGGACGGGAGAATAAAGACAACTGCTTGACTAGCAAGGCCGGATTAAGAGCCTTAGAGGTCCTAAGCACTTACAAAACTTTGATGCTCCTTAAATGTAATTAAAAATATCATCATAAATAACAGAAAAAAACTTTTCTTAAATAATATTTGAGTAAGTTTACAAAAGTAAATTTATATAACTGCAAGAAGAGGATCTATAATGGGAATAAAAAAAATTTCAATTAACTCTTTGAAGAGTTTTCAACGCTAATCACATAATTGTGATCTTACAGCCGAACTAAAATTATTTTGGTAATTCTGATGTTTTATTTTTTTAAAAATTCCCTGTCCCACAAGCTATTTTTTTTTTTTTTTTCATTTTAATTCTATGAAATATAACACAATTTTTTATTCAACCTTTCCGGGTGTTCCGTAATATCATTATATGCTTTTCAAATTTTTCTAACAAGTAAGAGAAATTTTTTTTATTGTGGATCTCAAATTAATATTCATGTAAAAAAATTATCGACTATTAGCGAATTTCTATAGAGAATTAAAAAAAATTGCGAAAGCTTAATACTGTATCGAAATTGAATTAATAATCAATAAAATTAACAAACAATTTTTCTTCTATCTCTGAAAGCGTTGGGATACCTGTGATAATTCTCTGTGAGTTTATAGAATTGCTCTTATTACCTACAGCACTTATTATTATTAACTGAATTGAATTAACTCACTTTCGTATTTATAGCGATGTTAACATGCATTTGAGATATCTACAACTTTCCGACAGTATTCAAATCTGTACTTGAGCTCCGTGCTTATTGAGAATTCAAGTCGATTCCTGCATTTGAGATACATGCATTTGAGATATCTACTACTTTCCGACAGTATTCAAATCTGTACTTGAGCTCCGTGCTTATTGAGAATTCAAGTCGTTTCCTGCATTTGAGATACACGCATTTGAGACATCTACTACTTTCCGACAGTATTCAAATCTGTACTTGAGCTCCGTGCTTATTGAAAATTCAAGTCGCTTCCTGACCACAACAAATAGAGTTTATTAACACTAAATCGGCAAATACGATGTATCGCAAATAGATATTTTAATTACTTAAGTAGCCAAAGTGCTCCAAATTCTACCAGTATTCTATTGACAAAACCAGTTACGATTGCTTCCGGACCACTGAAAGCTAAGTTTATCGTCATTTTATCACTAAAGAGAATTTTTTTCGTGAAACAAAACTTCGAATTTCTTCGCTTTATGAGTAGAATCTATAAATTTCAATTCTGTCTGAAACCTAAACTCTGTGTCTGATAATAATTCAAGTTACATTTGTTTCTTAAAGATTGTAAAACAAAATTTATCTCCGCTTTATTGAAATTTTTAACGATTTTCAAACATTAATAAGTAACATTTAAAACAAGAAAAAATAAAATATAAATTTTAAGAACTATGTTTTCAGGTGGGCAAAAAAGAAAAAAAAATCTTTTTGTCACACCTAAAACGAAAAATATACGCGCATCACTTTCTAGAGATAGAGAGAAAGCGGAATTAAAGTTCGTGATAATCCTACCACCAGCAACACCCCTTCTCCGTCTTCAGAAATATGATGCGTCCATCGTTTTTTGTTTTAGAAATGGCAAAATCAAATTATTCCTTTTTGTCTCGCTAACTTGAAAAACGTAGCATATATTACATTATAATGCAAAATAAATATTTATTACAATAAATTATTAATTACACTCAATTCAATTATTACAATCACAATCAAAAATATTCTAAAACTAAATTCAGTGGCGCTACAGACCATAGAGGGCCAAGGCCTACTGTGGCCATCTCAGTTTTCTTGACCTTGGTCTCTGGGGTGCAGGAGCATATGTTCCATTCAGGAGGTCAGCCGAACGCTGTCAGGAGGTCAGGAAACAACTCAACTCAGCTCAGCAATGGAGGGAAACAACTCAAGTCAAATCGCTGTCAGGAGGGAAACAACTCAACTCAACTCAGCAGCAGGAGGAAAACAACTGAACTCAGCAACAGGAGGGAAACAGCTCAGCTCAGAAGCAGGAGGGAAACAACTCAACTCAGCTCAAAAGCAGGAGGGAAACAACTCAACTCAGCTCACAGGCAGGAGGTAAACAACTCAACTCGGCAGCTGGAGGGAAACAACTCAACTCAGCTCACAGGCAGGAGGCAAACAACGCAACTCAGCAGCAGGAGAGACACAACTCAACTCAACTCAGAAGCAGGAGGGAAACAACTCAACTCGACTCAGCAGCAGGAGGGAAACAACTCAACACGACTCAGCAGCGAGAGGGAAACAACTCTACTTTGCAACAGGAGGCAAACAACTCAACTCTGCAACAGGAGGCAAACAACTCAACTCAACTTGGTAGCAGGATGGAAACAACTCAACTCAGCAGCAGGATTAAAACATCTCAACTCAACTCGGCAGTAGGATGGAAACAACTCAACTCGGCAACAGGAGGGAAACAACTCGATTCGGCAGCAAGAGGGAAACAACTCAACTCAACAGCAGAAGGGAAACAACTCAACTCAGCTCAGCAGCAGGATGGAAACATCTCAACTCAACTCGGCAGCTGAAGAGAAACAACTCAACTCAGTTCAGCAGGAGGAAGAAAACAACTCAACTAAGCAGCAGGAGAGATGCAACTCAACTCAGCAACATGAGAGATACAACTCAACTCAACTCATCAGTAGGAGGGAAACAGCTCAGCTCAGCAGCAGGATGGAAACATCTCAACTCAACTTGGCAGCTGGTGGGAAGCAACTCAACTCAGCTCAGCAGCATAAGGCAAACAACTCAACATAACCTGGCAGCAGGATGGAAACAACTCAGCTCAGCAGCAGGATGGAAACATCTCAACTCAACTCTTCATCGGGAGAGATACAACTCAACTCGGTTCAGCAGCAGGAGGGAAACTACTCAGCTCAACTCAGCAGCAGAATTCAAACAACTCAACTCAGCAGCAGGGTAGATACAACTCAACTCGCTTCAGCAGCAGGATGGAAACAACTCAACTCCTCAGCAGAAGGGAAACAACAACACTCAACTCAGCAGCAGGAGGGAAGCAACTCAACTTGACTCAGCAGCAACAGGAAAACAACTCAACTCGGCTCAGCAGTAGGAGGGAAGCAACTCAACTCAGCAGTAGGAGGGAAGCAACTATACTTGACTCAGCAGCAGGAGGGAAACAACTCAACTCGACTCAGCAGCAGGAGGAAAACAACTCAACTCGCAGCAGTATTGTTACAACTCAACTCGGAAGCAGGAGAAAAACAAATCAACTCAACTCGACAGCAGAAACAACTCACCTCATATCAGCAGCAGGAGGGAATCAACTCAACTCAGCTCAGCAGCAGGAGGAAAACAACTCAACTCGACTCAGCAGCAGGAAGAAAACAACTCTACTCGACTCAGAAACAAGAGGGAAACAACTCAACTCCTCTCAGCAGCAGTATTGAAACAACTCAACTCGGAAGCAGGAGGAAAACGACTCAACTAAACTCAACTCGATAGCAGAAACAACTCAACTCAACAGCAGAAGGGAAACAACTCAACTCGGCTCAGCAGCAGGATGGAAGTAGCTGAGCTCAGCAGCAGGATGGAAAACGATTAAACACATCTTGGCAGCAGGAGGGAAAAAACTCAACTTCAGGTCAGCAGCAGGAGGGAAACAACTCAACTTCAGCTCAGCAGCAGGAGGGAAACAACTCAA